TGAGGATTGGAACACTTTATAGTTTTTAAACAAGAACTGTCATAGAACTGACAGTGAGTGTTTGAACATACGGATATCATGATGGGCCGGGTTGGTGTGTGAAAACGCGATTGATTTGATGAATGCAGTTCAAACCATAACTGAAATTCTTTCTTGTCGCTCAGCTCTAAGTTTGACAAGCTTAGTCAAACCATGAGTTGAACTAACTTGCTTTTAGGTAAGAAATCATGTCAGGAAATTGTGTGTGGTGTTTCAAAAGGATGTGTTTTTTGACGTATTTCCTGATTGTATGCCACATGTCACGTTTCTCGATATTGCATACTTTCCAGGTAATGCGCCACATAGCGAATACTGTTAATTTCTTCTTTTGTTGCTGTACTTATCCGTTAGTTACGATGAGTTTATGAAACCGTTTCTCTCATAATGTATGGATATCCATTTGTTTGGTTCGAAAAATATGAAATGCTGCAATATCGCCTTCATAACTGCGTGTTCAAAAGAAATATTGTGACGAGAATAACGTGTCATCTTTATAATAATTGCTTTTTTTTCAGATTTAGCTGGATGCGTTGAAAAATTGGTCACATGTTTTCGTTACGTTGAAGTGCTCAACTTATATTATGTTCGCAATGTAGGTACTCTTTTTCGTGAAGTGAATTTATGAATATTATCGAATTGATATTGCATGAATGAGGCAGTAGTGTGCAACGAGTTTTTCTTTCACATTCGAAGTGCATTGCAGATTGACAATGAGGTCGTCGATGTACTATTCTCGAACGATTGTTTGAAACGTCTTCGTCAGTTACATTTCATAAGTATGGATGGAAAACCGAGCAATTTTATTCCAAAACTTTGTGAATCCGAACGACCGTTGCAGCTGCTCAATGTACCGTATAGCTTTGAGCAAGTTTCATCAGTATTCTGACGATGTATCCAATTATAATTCTGTAATGTTTTCGCAAGCACCAGCTTTCACTCTTCGTTTTGAACCTTCACGGGCATTCATAACCAGTAGATTTGAAATATTCATAATCTTTTACCTATTAGTGGAGTAGTTGTTTATAATATTCTCTCAGCAAAGGCAATGCTACTGAATATTTAATTCGAATCTAGCGAAATCCTGTACTTTTGTGAGTCGTGAGCATACATTACCTTGCGATCTGTCTTCGCGCTCTGTGTGGGCGCAGGTCAACCGATTTCCACGTTATTCTATGTTGTGCAGACGTTTTCCATTTCTGACCAAACATTCTGACGAATGATTCATCCCATCCTATTCATGGTCTGCCTAGGGGCCTTTTCACTCCTCTTGGAATCCATTGTGTTATTCGACTATTCCAGAGTCGTGGGATAAGTATCAAAATTTGTTTGATTAAACTGGGATTGATATCAGATTTTGTTGTATGCCCATAATGGTCACTAATGTAATTTGTCGTCGGATCAGACGTGTCAAAAGAAATAAACTTTCAGTTTAAGGGAATTACTCGTGTCGCCATTGCGGAATACTTTGACAGAGCTCTACGTGAACGAGTATTTTGATGAGTCGACGTACGCCATCATTGGACAGTTGACTAATCTTACAACTTTATCGATATTTTCATCACTTTATGGAACCGATGAGCAACTTATGCAACTCAAAGTCGGTTTGAAAATTCGTGAATGATGAAAGTATAGGGTAGAGTAATAGCTAACACTTGAATTTTGCTTCCCATCCCTATCCAAATAATTGTGAGAAGCTGAGTTGTATTTATGGATCGATCAATCAAATCTACGAACTATCAGTACATTCGGTCGGAGTGTGAGCTATTGACATTCGAATCGTGATTCGCAATATTTGCTTCTCCAGCAAATGATTTGGTTGCCCATTCACGCAAGAACCCAAATAACTTTTTGGAATCGGTGGCTCTAAAATCCAAAAGGATTTTGAAAATTCATTGTCAGTTATCATTCAAAAAAAAAATCACTTCAGTCACTCTGCAAATTGGAACATCTTCATTTGGACTGTTGTGGACAGGATTGTGATATGAGTCCTGATGCTATCGCACAGTTCTTCGAGCTTCCCTCAGAGAATGCCGCAAACTATTTCCCATATCGTCTCAAATATTTACGTTTAAGTGATTGCTATTCATTTGAATTGGCAGCTGCAAACGCCCTCGTCATGAGGTCATTTTGGTTGCATTCCTCTCATATTAGCACCTCTCGCTTATGTAATCCTCATAAATTCTTTGATTCATTCATCAATGATTATCTCGTTCCGTTCATTGATTCAGCGGTGCTGTCAAAAATTGAACGAAATCTTCGATTTGGTTGCTGCATATTTGGAATTGCTTGTTGGGAAGGGAAATGTGGTTTGCTTTATGCCTTGAAGATTCCATAACAGTCGGTAAATGTGACCCGCAAAACTGTTTTATCCGTATTAATTAATGAATAGACTTTGCATTCTCAATGGAATCAGTGATATGAGTCTATTAAATTTCAGCTGTCCTCAACTGTTATCCCTGAATGTAGCTCGAGATTGTTACATGGGCGAGGAAGCGTTAACTCTCCTGGTTAAAAACTTGAAGTATATTTTTCTGAATAATTTCAAAATGATTTCTGAATGCATGTTTAATCTGAGGCAGAGAAGAATGAAACAGAACTTTGCTCCAACGATGAAATATACTAAAAGTACTGAAAGATACATTTCTTTGAGAAATACTCATCAATGCACATGGTTAAAATATTCACATGAACTATAATCTGGATTAGTTACAATTAGTTTCCTTTATTCTATCACTGTTGTTAATACCAGTGTTGGGCGCGCTATCGAAGAACGATAGCGCGCTATCGCTATTCCGCTAGCGAAAAGACTTCCGCTAGTCCGCTACCGCTATCGCTATTACCCACTGAATCGATAGCGGAGCGCTATCGCTATCGCCTACTTTAAAAACCTCATTACACCACTAAATGATTCAAAATTTTCATTAATCAACACGCATTTTTGAATTAGATGTGAGAAACATTACGAAAGTAGATTTTCACGAGAAAATAAATTTTATTTTAGGACAATAGGAGACAATATAGGTTTTTAAGACAATATAGGT